TATATATATTGTTTTGCTTCATAATATAATTGGGGCTGAGGCTGATGGTTTTCTGTCCTGAACTTCCCTCATTATATTTAAAACAAGTGAAAAGAAGGGCCTAGCAAAATTTAGGATTTCTTTATAATCAACTCTTATATAACTTTTTGAATTTTTTTTAACTTTAGGCACATGCTCAGTAGTTTGTGTAAATACTTATATAAATTACCTTATAAGCCAGTTTCATCTCAGAGGCTGAATCACCTCATGAAATATTTTGTTTGGATTAGTGGAATTACCAACTTTTAAAATTTTGTGATATTTCATAAGAAACTAGAAGTTTCTGGCTTCTCTTTTTTAAAAAGTGGGCGGTCTGGCAGTGCTTGATCACATATGCCATACATAATCAACTGGATGGGGTGGTAATTGATACAGATATTTTATTGGTTGAAAACTTAGCTTGGAAATATTTACATGATTTTTTTTCTTTTGCCTGATAAAAAATGAAGACTCTTACTTCTTCTCTCCCTTTAGAGACCATATCATATTCGATCCAGCACATCCAGCAAGGAAATTGTGCACATGTTTGAGACAGCTATTGTGACTTACCCTTCTGCCTGGTCACAGGAAATGGTGTCACTTCTTAAAAAGGTAAGAAGGTTGGGGAGGGAAAAGTGATCAAATTATGTTATAGGCCACACTGAAAACCAGCGTTCTACATAATTATTATGCACCCACAGAAAATGATAAGAGGGAAGACTGCACGTCAAAAGGAAATGAGCTTCTGGGTGACACGTCCCACACCTGCAGTCCCAGTGACTCAGGAGGCTGAGGCAGCAGGAAAGCACGTTTGAGGCCACGCTGGCAACTTAGTGAGACTCTGTCTCAAAATCACAGTTAAAACTAAAAAAAAAGAAAAAGAAAAAAAAAAGGAGCGGGTGCTGGGGATGTACCTCCACAGAATGCCCTAGGGTTCAATCCTAGGACCACTAAAAGAAAAAACAAACAAACAAACAAACAAAAGCATGCTTTCCAGTTTAAGGTTTAAAACATTGGGGCAGTCATTCACAATAATATATATTTCTAGAATGGTTATGCAGCTAACAGCTTTTAAATACATGACTTCATTAAGTCAGTCCACAAGTACCCCTGGAGGTCTCAAAACTATTCTGTCCAGATGGAAATCTTGATCTCTGTATTTCTTGGCCCTCTTCCAGTGTTCCCTCTCTCAGTGACTGGCCCCTCCATACTCCATTTATGCAACCCAGCAACCAGGACTCATGCATCATCTCCCTGTCCAATCCATCACCACCAAGTTCTGAAATTTGACATTTTAATATCGTTTGAATCTTTTACTTTTCAACTCCACTCCTATTTTCCCAGTTTTGTCTTACATGCTTTTGCCATTCCATTCTGTCCTCCACTCTGCCCTGTAGTGGTCTGTTCAAAGGACAGTGCAGTGTCTTCCTATTGCTCTTAGAATAAAGATCAAAATAATACACACAGTGTTTGAACTGTTGTCCTTATCTTTCCCTATATATAACTGCTTTGGCTTTCTCCTTTTCCTTCACCTCCCCTTCCTTGGCCTCACATAACATTCTCCCACTGACCACATGGCCTTTGCGCATGCTCATCTCTCTTCCTGGAGCACTGCCTCCAGTCACAGTCCCTCCCACTTCATACCTGGGATTGATAATACTCAACATGATTCATTGGCTAGTTTTAGTTCATGCCTCCTATAGGTACATTATAATACCAGATATTAAGAGAAGCATTGAGAAATATTTATAGAAATTTCCTGTAGTGTCTATGCACATGGCAAATGGATCTGTCTCATTGAATAGTCTACAGCTTGTTTAGTGGATGTTGAACTCTAGTTACAGGCTGTACATGGTGTGGAGCTGCACACTGGCTGGGCACAATGAGACCACATATTAGTTTGCATGGGCCAGAAATTAAAACAAGCAAACAAAAAACACTGGCCCTTCTACATAGTTGGAGAAACAGCTTCAGATCTTAGCTCAAATAGCACTTCCCTGGGGAGCCTGTCATTCATAACATTTATGCAGTTTGAAATTACACGTAGCATTAGTGTGATCCTTGGGTTGATGATTGTTCTCTCAAAAGCTGCATGGAGATAGGGACCATGTCTGACTGTGTGCCATGGTATTTTCAGCATCTCCTGGCTGAAAATGTGGTATTTGAATGAATGAGGTACATAGTTTTTATTGGATTTTTAGGGCACCCATGTTCACCAAGAAGACTAAACACAATTATAGTAGGAGCTCAGTAATGTATGATAAACAATTACATGAAACAGATGCTGAGGTGCCCAAGAGGATAGTCGTGGTTGCTGTTGTTGCTGTTTTTAAAGGAGAGAAAATTTCCCAGGTTGTGCTGGTAAAGGAAAGAGATTAAGGAGCTAAATATTCCAAATCTGTGTCTCTTGTCTTTGAGATCAAGTTCCCTTTATTAGAATAGGGACATTGCTACTAGTAATGTCAAAAGCAAAGAATGGGGGGGCCATTTTTCATAGCAAATTATTTCTCAGTTGTAAGACTGCCCCACGTCACTGCCAAATTACAGCCTGACTTTCCACGGTTGTCCTCTCCAGGAGCATTCCCAGGGGGAACTGACATTTCCCCTTTGAGTCACACTGTTGGTTGATGGAGTGGTTAGCAGGGAAAATCTTCAACTCCAGTTATTAACCCAGAAAGAACTATAACAGTAACCTAGCTACACCTTATCTGTGCCATGTAATGGATATTGAATTTAATTGTAAAAACAGCTAAAATTTTTTTGTGGGGGAAAAATTCGTCTCACTTGTAAAAATGTGTGAACATTTACCACCTAATGTGAACAACGTTTTATATTCATGTCCTTATTTAATCCCAGATACAGCCTTGTGAAATAAGCTGTTATCTCTTTATTACAGATTGGTAAACTGAGGTTGAGAAAACAAACATGCCATAGTTAGTAAGTAGGAAAGTCAGGAATCAAAGCTGTGTTTGAATGAGTTGGAAGAGCTGTTTGTATTTGTTACATGGCAACCTGACTCCTAGTGTTGATTGTGACTCTACACTGTATTATTAGCATGTGGATTTAGAGAAGGGGGCATGACCTAGTACCCTTCAGTCCTGTGCATGACAACACTGAGAGGGGATTTAAGTGTATTCTTTGTTCCCCCTGTTTTGACCTTCTTCATGATATTAATGTTTTATTCCATTGGCAGCTACTTGAACCTAATCCAGACCAACGATTTTCTCACTTGACGGACATTCAGAACTTCCCATATATGAATGACATGAACTGGGATGCGGTTTTGCAGAAGCGGCTCATTCCAGGATTTATTCCCAATGTGAGTCAATCCTAACAAGCCCACATAACTCCCATTCTGTTACATCATCACTCTGTGTGCCTGATCAGAAAGTCACACCAGTGTTGTATAACAGAGCTCAAATATTTTTGTATGAGAAAACACATGCGGTTAGGTAAGTTGGTCACCAAAAGTCACCTAGCAAGTGGCCAAGATGGATTCTAACCCAGGTCTGGTCACATCTGGGGATCTAGATCCTAAGCACTCTCTGTGCTGTGCTTTTATTGGAAAGGATTTTTAGTTCTTCAAATAGTCATTTCCATGAATCTGCTAGTTGGAAAAAAAAAAAAAGTTTTCTCTGACTTCAAAGATGTCCTCATAATTTGTGTCCACAGAGATCTCTTAGTCAGAGGATTGAAAACTGTGGAGGAATTCATTGTTACCACTTGCCCCTCCTTCTTTGCTAGTTTTATTTTGTGGATTTTTATTTTTTAAGGATTAATCGCCAAAGAGAAATAATTCCCACTGAGTGAGTACCCGACCAAGGGACATCTGTGTCCCACGACAGACTGCTGGTGAAAGCTTAGGCTGGGGCCTAGTGAGGCCTGGACTTCTTCTCTCTGCCTGAGGCCTGAGTCACACATTCAGTTACACACTCAGTGGTGGGGTTATTGGGAACAAGAATGGGCCCATTAGGGACTCAAAGAAACAACTCAGAGATTTTCATTATGGGCACGTGGGGATGTGACCTTGAGAGTGAACTGTTGGGCAGGGGTGTGCCAGCGAGAGGGTCAAGTGGAATTGCAGAGAAGGGGAAGCACAGTGTGGTGGGATCCTGAGCATGGAAATCTCCACCTTATGGAGCAACAGAATAGGGAACTGAAACTCCTTCCTGTCACTTTGTAGCGTCTATGGGGCAGCTTGTGCCTGGCTGATGTGGACAAGATGCAAGTCTGGGTACCACCTGTTGATTCTGTTCTTCTCTGAGCTGCATGTTGCCCTGAGATAAGCTCTCTGTCGCAGTTCTTTGGCTCCTATGAAACGGAATCATTTGAGGCCATTATTAAAGGGTAGGTAGGGTCTCCTATTCAGAAGCCCTGATTTGGAAAACCTGGCCGGAGACCTGGGAAGTCAAAGAAGCCACTCTGGTGACTCTGATCTATGAGAACCACACTTTGAGAGACCTGAAAGCTCAAACTGTAGAAAAATTATTTTCATTTGGTTTCCTTTGTTACTCCCTGAGAAGTAATTGGAAGTTTAGAAAAATAAATACAATAAAAAGTCAAAGGATATGAAAAATGATGCTGGCAACGAATGACATAAAACTTGGAGTAGGAATCCGAGCTTATCATTCTTGGACTGCTGCTTAGGACCAGGTGTTTTCCTCCACGTGGGGTCTGGTATGTTTTTATGACACAGGAACGTGAGGACTAAGCCAACCTGTCTCCCTTGTAGAGAGGCAGGCTGAATTGTGACCCTACCTTTGAACTCGAAGAAATGATTTTGGAGTCCAAACCCCTTCACAAGAAAAAGAAGCGTCTGGCAAAGAAGGAGAAGGAGATGAGGAAATGTGATTCTTCACAGGTGAGGAGGACCCCACCAAACCCAAGGTGATGGGCATCCCGAGATCACTGCTATACCTTTGAGAGCTGCTGTTGGGAGGTCAACTTGGCACCCTGATTTTGCCTGACGCAGAGGGACTTGTGACTGTCGAGAGTGAGGTACGACAGTGGCAACCAGCCTTCTGGCACCTCTGTGATCAGAAGTGGCAATCAGTGATCAGAACAGAGATCCCCATATTTGGAGGACATAATCCTAATTTCCCACCATGGCTCCTGCAAGCTGCATGCAGGCAGCTCCAGAAATATGGGCACAGCTCTGTGCCAGGGTGGAGGGTGGACAGCAGGTAGCTTCTACTATGCTAAGAATTGAAACTCATAGTAACCATCTTACCACCCATGCCTTCCCTCAATATACCTGAACAACATACCCTCCATAGACCTTCATCAGAAGGATTCTGCTAGGGCAGTTGATTAGATAGAGAGATCCCTACTCTGCCATCTTCCAGCATCTTCCTCATATAGGTTCCATCTTGAAGCTACTGTGGTACTTCTTAAATGCGGTTGAATAGAAACTTGGTAGGTTTTTGGCTGTGAGGACCCTCATTCATCCGCTAACTACACTCTATTGTTTTTCAATGTCCACCTTAAAGACATGCCTTCTTCAAGAGCACCTTGAGTCTGTCCGGAAGGAGTTTATAATTTTCAACAGAGAAAAGTAAGTAACTGCTGGGGGAACAACAGTTTAGAAAATGATGCTGTTTTAGCCAGACTCTGTTTGCAGAAACTCAGTGTATTATTTTTAACATTTTTTATTTTTTCTAATGACAAAAATGAGGCACATCTATTATAGAAATTTTGGAGAATTCAGGAAGCTTTTTATTTGTAAAAGAATTTTTCAATAGTAAATTAGCCTCACATCAACTTTTTGTTTGTGGGAAGGGCAGACGAATTGGGATATAAATACAATGACATTTTAAGGTTTTCTCGACTCACACCTCTTTATAAATTGTTGATCTTTGTTATCATTTCAAATGTTTAAACTTTTGGATTTCAAAGAATAAAACTAACTCTCTCTCTCTCTCTCTCTCTCTCTCTCTCTCTCTCTCTCTCTCTCTCTCTCTCTCTCTTTTCCTTTAAGAGTTAAAAGAGACTTTAATAAAAGTCAAGCAAATCTAGCCTTGGAACAAACCAAAAACCCACAAGAAGAGGATGGCCACAAGAACAACCTGTAAAGACCTCTACATCTTCTTCCTGACTTGGGACTTCTCAAATTCTTGCCACCCCACACCTCATGATGTAGACAATGTGACATTGACTATCCTGTGAAGCGGGCAGCATGCCATGGAAAGTCCTGGGCCTGAGCCCCTGGGATCTGACTTCACCACTGATTCACTGTGTGACTTTGAGCCAAGTCATTTATCCACTTTCTGTGCTTCAGTTTATTCATCTAAAACTAAAGGGTTGTACTGGAGGACCTGCACCTTGCCTTTAGTGCTGCAATTGTTATTCTAAATGGCCTTTATCTTAAAAGGAAGATCTGCAGATTTATTTTTCCATTCCTCTGACTACACTGTGACAAATGAACATCGGACACAATGAGCCTCTTCAGAGCTGGAAAACTTCCTAAGACATCAGAATCCCAAGGACCGATTGGATAGAAATAAAGAATCCCATGAGGAAGAAATGCATAGGGTCAGATAGAAGTAACAGGTTTATAGGACCTTTAGCAGGGTGCTGAGTCAGCTCCACCTTGGTTTCTATCAGCTGGTAAGAGCCTACTGTGCACAAGGCTCCCCAACTTCCTTTCAGTGAGATGATATTGGCACCTTGTAATCAGTGATGATGAGAGGATTTATGCCATGGGAAATGAGCAAATGCTACAAATCAGGGCACCTTTTTCTTTTTAACAAGCCAGTTGTTGAATAGTAGCACACCATTTGCCTTCTTCCAGTATGCATGTTCCTTGAGGGCTAATTGTCCTCTGAAGATTAGCAGAGCCTGCATCTGGATAGGATCAAGAACATCTTTACATGACAATGTTTACTTTATGGTTCAGTGAAGTCGCACTGTACAGGGTGGTTATATAGTAAGTTAGAAGTGCAATTGGAAGATGTAAGACTTGCCTTTGAAAAACACCTTCATTACCCACAATATATGGGAAATATCTTCTCAATGAAGCCTAAGGAGTGAGTTGCCATTCTGTAAAGAAACAGGTCACTCTTGTGCTCTTTATTTTTGGTTTCATTTTGGCTAATAATGGGTGAATTAAAATACTGAACATCTTTTATAGTCTAGAATTACCCTTAGGACAGTGGGATGCTCACCCATGTGAGAGGTCAAGTTCATGGAGAGTCACCTTGGGAACGGCGGGAACATGTTTTCTACCCTTAGGACGACTGAAAAATTGGCAGGCAGAAGTGCCTAATTATTTAAAATATTATTGGTTTCTCTTTTTCTTTACATTTTATCTATTTATTTGCCAAGTTTAATTCACCTAAGTGTGCATGTAACTCTACTGTGCTATCTTTGCAGAACTGTTTTTGGATAGAGTCAAGAGGTGAACAGGCTTTAGCAGGATTGTTTTCACATCTCTGCTACTCAGGTCATCTAAACCTTGGCTGCGAAGGGACAGTAGGGCCTCACCAGTAACCTGGCAACCAGGAAGACCAGACTTGCACCCACTTGGGAAACCAGACAGGTGCAAATAGACTAGAGAAGTAAGAGATATGGCTGCTTGCCTGCCTCACAGAGATTGCCAGAGGGGGGCTGCACGGGGGGTGACTAAGCATGGGTAGGAAGCCAGAGCTGAACTACAGTTGTGTATTCATGGTTTTCTCCTCATTGAGTTAATGGGCCCAGGATTTCTGGCACCGCTATGAAATAGTGCCTCTCTGATTTGAGAACGACCATATTTTTGGTTAAAGAATCGAAATCCAGCTCTTTTCCTCTTCTGTTCCTTTTCCCTCAGTTCCCATTCCTTATTTGTCTGTGCAATTTTGTTTTTCTCCAAACACTAGAAACTCAAAGCATTTGTTTGACCCACTTTCAGAGTGGAGGGCGGGTTGAAAAGAGCAGCCACCAGAAGGCCACCAGATTCTGCCCACAGCTGGCCACCTCTGGCGGATCAGGAGCCAGGTGCACAGTTACCAGCTTCCCTCTTATGCTTGTCTTTTATTCAAACCCTGATGTGCCCTTGACTCACCTCTCCTGTCACCTGGGTCCTCCTCTGCATTCCCCCAAAGGAGAGGCTTTTCAGAAATGCTTACCAAAGGACAGTGGGACCAGGAGGCTGTCCATGATGGTGAGAGCTGATCACGTGTGGGGCTGCACATCTGTACAATTTAAGGTAGGGTAGGAACCCATATGCTCTCTGTAGCTTGAATCCCTACTTTCTATACCCAGAACACTGCAGTCGACTTTCCGAATCATGAACACACTGAAGAAAGCTCAGTGCTCTCCAAATGACTGATATGCAGTGTGCTTCATATTAGAAAAGAAAAAGCACCAGGCTGGGCCTGTGGCTCAATGGTGGGTTTGAAACCTAGAACCACAGAAAACAGACAAGAAAAGGCACTGCATCTGGTAGCATGGAGTAAGTCATTCTCACTGCCTCCTACCATGTGAATTTTAAAGACAAGAAAAACTTTTCCAAAAACAAATTGTAAACCTTTCCCAAAGTTCTTATGGTGGTTGCTAGTTATGGAAATCAGATCCTTTAGTTTTATTCCATAATTTGGGCTAATAGTCAATTCCCCATTGAATGGAATATGTCTCATCTACATTGGGAATGAGGCTCACGGATGAGAATTTTAGAAACCTGCATCCTTTGGTTTGCCTTTCTGGAAGCTTTTTGTCCAACAGCATCCTCCCTTACCTATAGAGAGCATCTGAGGCATCTTAGCAGATTCTGAAGACTAGAGCATCCTGCTTCTAAAACTCCTGCAAGGCAGCAGAGCCTCCAATTCCAGGATATTCCATGACCTCCCCTGAAGTGGGGCAGCCCAGCCCTGCAACCCTGACCGTGACCCTAATTCCTTGGGAATAAATGCTCTGCTAATGACTAACACCCCCTCTGAAGCAGCACTAGTTTTGGCTGAGGTCATTGTGAGGGCAGCGTGAACTTCAAGCAGCACAGACCATTACAAGATTGATTATAATAATCTAATTAATTAGTGGCTAGGTTTCATCTGATAGGAAAATTTTAATCAGAAATGACTCAATTTTCTGTCATTATAGTCCTAGATTGGATGGGTGAATACATAATTAGGAAGAAAGAGCATTAATGTAGCTATTAATTCGTCAGCATTGCAGCTTTTGGCTGGTGCAGAAACGCCAGGGGTTCAGCTCTTTAGAGGCTGAACCAAAAGGCTTGGAATGCATTGTGAGTTTGTTTCAGTCCCAGTATTTGTCCATAGAAAATCCTGTTTCCTACTTTTGTCCACCTGTGGTTACTGTTTATTACAAGCTCAGTGTGTGTCTGGCTGATATTAAACATTGATGTGAAAAATACACACTTTGGTTTTCTGTGCTTTTGTGAACCAATGGCTGACTTGGCAGCCCTTGAATGAGAAAAACATGCTTCTGTTGAGCTGTAGCATGTGCAATGTCACTGTGCCTGCATGTATTAAAATGTCTTATGTAACAGTAAGCCATTGACCTTTCTTTGTCACGTCTGTGTTTGTGTATTTGTTTTCCCAAAAGAGAGTATCAGGGTGCCTAAATTTACCTGCTCTTACTTCCGTTTCTTATTGTGAGGAAGGTCCCCTAATAGAGAGAGCTGGTGTTAGAAATGATGTTCTGTTACTCAGGAACACAGCACATCTTAACTGATCCACATATACAAAAACGAAAACACTTGATTCCTTTAATATGCACACTTCAGGAACACAGTCCAGAATTCTACCTTCTGCCTTTCACTGTGTCCTCAAGTTCACAGATAGCTCATGCATCTTTTCTCAGCATCCTGTCCCATTGCACACATGAGGGCAGCTGGTGGATGTTCCAAATCCCATAATTTGGGACAGGAAGGTAACAGGCACCTATGAACTCTTGCAGCTAAGAGCAACTTCTGGCAATGAGAGAGTAAAGGAGTTTTCCACTACCTCCAAACTCAGAGTAGGTCAGCAACCAGCCAAACACTCCATAGGCTGGAAAAAGCAAGCAATTCTTGTGGACTCTCAAGTCCTGCATCCTGAGAACCCTATTGTCAGGTCATATTAAGTGTCCTGCTGTGCTGTTCTGAACAGCCCGCTGAACAAGGGGCAAGGTCTAGAACCCTTTAGATTTTTAAGTATGTGATGTCACTTTTGCATGTTGCTCTGTCCCTTTTGTCATCTCCATCTCTTTCACATGGTTGGTGTCCCTGCTGTGATGGGTTGGTGTTAGGAGAGTTGATTCCAGAAAGTTCCTTGGAACCAGAGGGCCTTGTTTTTACTCTTCAGTGTTTTCATTCCCACCTAATTAGACGTGACTCTGCCACTGAATATCTCTGGCCTACAGAGGTTTAAAAGTGTCTATGTATCTTTCCCCAGCACCTCTGAAGGCCACTCATTCCTTTTGGAGTCCTGCACCCTTAGTTCATTGTAAACATTGACTGTTCCCTTTAAACCCGCTCAAATCCTTAGAAAAGCCCACTCATTCCTTGGACAGGAGCAGGGAGAGGTGTTCTGCCAGTCCTGAGTTTGAGCCATTCGTGAGACTACAGACTAAAGCTTATTGAACATCAAACTGGGAACCTCTGTGGTAAAATAACTCTAGTATGTTCAGAGTAGCTTTGGATCTGGTTTCTGAGCTTCTGTGTTAAAAGGTACACACTCACTTTGTGCTCCTTTATTAAAAGCATTGTCCTACCAAATCAAGAGGGACTCATTACATGCAAAAGCAATTAATTAGAAATTACCATCCCCAGGGCTCCCATTTCCTCCCCCACCTATCCCAACTTACAACCAGACCCATCTTTGGGTTAAACATTCATGCCTTGCAGGCTTGAGAGTGAGGCTAGAGCCTTCCCAGCATGTATCCCCTTTTCTGGCATGCCAAATACCAGAATCCACATGGTTTAGGTGACTCAGGGGCTGGGCATGTGACCAGGTGTGGGCAGGTAATCCAATATGCGTTTCTGGCCAAGTGACTGGCTCATGGCACACATGTGATCCAACCAGACCAATCAGAGTCAACCTCTTCTGAACTGCTGAGGGAAACTGCCTCCTTCCTCTGAGGTTACTAAGAGGTAAAACAAAAGTTTGGGGCTGCTGATGACCAGCTTTGCCCTCTCATGGAAAGAGCTTTAGTCAGAAAGAAGCACCCACTCAAGCCAGGCAGGGCCAAGGTGGAGAGGCAGCATTCAGATATCAGCATTCAGCACTTCCCCCAGCCAGGCTTGAGTCTGCCCACCCCCGGACTTTTCTGTTGCAGATTTTGAAATTCCTGCTTTCAACCCTCCACCCTCATGCCCTTCTGCAAGTGTCACCTTTCCAGTGAAAACATGACCTGCACATGTTAGAACTGGATTCAGCAGGGTTTCCCCACAAGGGTTTGGCACAATCAGTTTGGTGGGAGGTGAAAAGATGATACCGGGTAGAGGAATTCAGTAGTCAAAAGATTTGAGAGCCCTGATTTGGACAAGGCTTTTGTTTGTTTGTTTGCTTGTTTGTTTTGGGGGGTGGTGTTTGTTTGCTGTGCTGGGGATGGACCCCAGAGCTTTGTGCATGTGAGGCAAGTGCTCATCTACTGAGCTTCACCCCAGCCCTGGAAAAAGTTTTAAAGCCTCCTCCATCATAGGATTTCTCAGCCTTCAACTTGTGGTATGTACCTTCCTGTTCTCCTAGGAGTAGACACAGCAAATAATCCTTTCAAGCACTCATTTGACCCCTGAGATCAGTTTGCTAAAGAATATACTTTGGCACGTGCTTAGTTGGTGTTTTTAATCAAAATCTAGGTTTCTCAAAAGAAGTGGAGCATGCTTAGAAAGCAAGCTAATATCGAGGATTTAAGGAATGATAAAATAATAATAATAATACCCACAAAACAACCCTTTTAGGTTCTGTCCAGGACTCTGCCAGGTTAATTCTCCATGGTGATGCCTTTAAAACTGATACTGACTCTGATGGTCCATAAAGAAAAATTTCATCATTTGCTAAAGTTTCAATAATATCATCAAATTCTGTGGCCCAAACTAACGACTCAGTGAAGAGATAAGACACACATTTTTTTTTCCTCCAGATAACTCTGTTTTTGTCAGACCTGCCTGGCTGACTAACCATTTCAGTCTTATTGTGCAATGCTAACGTAGTAGATAGAAAGACATATCACACACAGAAGGGTCCTGGGAAACAATGTTGGTAATTTTATAGTTATTTTAATAACCAGGTTTACATTAACAGTCACTTGATGAATTTTTTTTTCTTTTTCTTTTTTTGTCTTTAATCTCAGCTAATTCAATACACAGTTTTCTTCACGGTTCAAACCAAACAGCTCTTCACGTTCCAGAGCTGCCTCACAGCTAGCACAGATCACAGGGAGATTTACTGTCTGTCCATATCCACCAGGCACAGGACTGAACACCCACACACCATTTCTCAAAGGGGGAGCTTATGAGGAACACTGGCTGCTCAGGACAGCCCGTGAGCGCAACTGGGACTCAAGCTGGGGTTGTGCAGGGGAGAAGGCCTGGGAGTCTTGTGGCAGGAACCAAGATTGGGAACCATACACCTTGTTGAAGGGGTATCTCGGGGTGAGCAAAATGGAGTCCAGGCTAAGGAGGATTCAGGCCCTGTGAGAAGAGAATGACTCTCTGGGTACAGTCATAAAGCAAAAGGCTGAAGGATGACTGGATTTTGAAAAAAGCCATTTTCAGGTTAACTATAATCCTACTAGTTTTAGGAAACTTAGGAGAAAAAGAAACATTCATACTAGGGTAGCTGATTCAACAGTTCTAGAGACAACCCCTCAACTACCCACACCTGTGACCCTCTCAGCCAGGACTCCAGTGGATTTCCAACTGGGCTTAGAAACAAAGAGAGAAGGTTGGGGGGTGGCAAAGCCATCCTCAGAGATGGGCCAGGCCAAGAGATGAGGTGGAAAAAGCTATCTTGAGAGTGAGACTGAAGACCCAGTTAGCCCTTCACACTTGGATGACACACCAGGGAACTTGAAGAGCACCATGACTCATTGTCATTTTCTCCCCCCAAGCCCCTTGTATAGGGCTGTTCAATGCGTCTATAGAACAGAATAAAATTGAATATACATTGAAAATGTATGTTCAAGGAATTCTCTGGAATTGCTATACTTAAATGTTACTAATGGCAAGAGAGATTGGGAGGCTTCCTACAACACTGCCCATCTTGAGCATCAAGGGTTTTTTTTTTCCTACGGAATGGACTGCTTGTATAGAATAGAAAGTTCTGGGTGAATACTCCCAGTGCAGTGCAGATGACCCATTTGCTCACGGAAGATTTATCTCATGGCATGGAGAGGGCTTGGAAGGATTAGAGGGTCAGGGACTGGTAATCTCAGAGCAGATGGTGGTGAACAGGTGCGTGCTCAGACTAGTTTATTTACGTGTATTTTCCTCCATCTGGTGGCCATAGCTGGTACTGCCGCTTATTCTAAAGCCCAGCCTGGCTCCTGAGGTATGTTTCAGATCTGGCAAACTCCCTTTGTACATAAAAGTCATTCTGAGTTCCTTGAAAGGCCCCCAAATGTTTGAATTGTAAATTAAAGCTACATTTTACTTTTTATTTAAGTTTCCCTTAAAAAAAAGCACCATAAGAGCCTTAAAATAGCAAGATTCCCTACTATGAGGTGAAAGTCTTTTTTTTTTTTTTCAAGACTGGAACAGAAAGTAGCTTGCTTGGAGAAATAATCTTCCTTAGATATTTCTAAGTATTTTTGTAGCCAAGTGTTCACTTTTCTCTAGTTCTCAACTTATTAAAACCTGCAGACAGGCCTAGGGGGCAGGTGGGTGTGGCTCAGTGGTAGAGAGCTTGTATAGCATGTGCAAGACCCAGCACCAGAGGCGGGGAGGGAGGGAGAGAGAGAAAAAACAGACAGAAAAAAAAACCCAAAAAAACCTCACCCACACAAAAAAATCAGAACATGCAGTCAGAGGTAATGGTTTCTCCTAAGCACTGAAAAGGTGTCTGAGGCCTGCTCTTCTCTTCAAAGTACTTAGTACACAGAGTTATGGGTTCTACCAGATGTATTCCCCACGGCATGGAAGTCTGATCCCAGGTTGAATATTTTCTTCCTGCATAAGGGTCTCTCAGTTCTGTACATCCTTGCCTTGCTCATAGAACTTGGTCCATCACTGAGTTTTCAGAGGTGGCCTGATAGAGGAAATGGACACATTGGTGCTACTTTCTTTTATGTGTACCACCAGGAAGGCCATGTCACGTCACTTCCACTCACCTCAGAGATTTTAGGACCAAAACTAAAAGTCCCCCCCAAGGATCAGCTAATGGAAGAGGAAATAGATGGTTTAGAATTGAAAAATGGAACCAGGTTATGTAATGAGCTCTCTCTGCTCCAGACTGGCTTTCTCAAATCCCTGCTTGACTCCCCCACATAAGCTGAGATTACCTCTTCATAGTGAAAGTTGGTGAATAACTCCTTTTTAGTCATGCCGTGCCTGATCTCAGGAGATCAAGA